GTGGTTTCTAATTTTAGTAAAGTGCCATGCAGATTTAATTTTTTTCCCGGACATGTGAAGAATGCAGTTATCGATTTTTTTTGCATGCTAGCATGCTAGTTAATATTCGTGTCAGTCAGCTGTTGGCTCCTCACGCTGGACCAATAGAATCTTCCTGCCTATTAATTTATTACATTGGAATCGTAGCCAGCTATAGGCTTTACTCAACTGATAAACTGGCGGCTAAACTTTACATAAAACTGCCGACCTGGAAGCAAGAAAAATCGATGGGAATTGGTAAAAAATGCAATGTCAGTCTTGGCCGAAATTTTTCCTCTATACTAAACTTGGAGCATGTGCATGTAAATTTTGGTGCAAACTGTTGAAAATTGAGTTGGCTGTGCATTCCACACACACACACACATCCTTATATTATATATATATATATATATATATATATATATATATATATATATATGTATGTATGTTTATATATATTATATATATATATATATATATATATATATATATATATATGTGTGTGTATATTGACCACTAATTTAATATATATATATATATATATATATATATAGAGAAAGAGAGAGAGAGAGAGAGGAGGGGGAGAAGGAAAGGGAGCGAGAGGGAAGGGGGGAGATGGAAGTGGGGGAGAGGGAAAGGGAGCGAGAGAGAGAGAGGGAGACATAGACAGAGGATAGGTAAACCACATTCCTATATTTATTTTAATACCCAGACAGAAATTATATTAAAAGACGTTAAACCCAATGTATACTTTTGCTAGGGCCACTCTCACACACACACAGAGACATTTGAGGTGAGATTTATATTACAGTCCATACAATTTTTTAATGTTTTGGCGTTTTTATTTCAATGAATTTGATTGTGCAGCAATTAAATTCAAACGACTTCATATAAATTTCTTAACGCCGTCCTTTCTTCCTTTCCTTCTCCATCACACCTTTAAACTTTTATCGTCCAGACGTCAATTTAAACTATCTCCTTTTTTTTTCATATATTTAGATTTTAATTACAAACTATAATTTTGGAAAATGAAAATATCACTGAAATATATTGAAAATTGTTCAACTTTTAATTTGAAATCAAGAAAATTAAACTGTATGCAAAACGGTCGCAGTATGGAGCAAAACACGTCGTTTTAAAATGACGCCAAAAAAAAAGTCAAAAATTGGTACTGAAATACAAAAAAAAAATACTATTAATTCTTAATATAGACAGAAATGAGATTAATGATTTTCACCGAAATTTTGATCCCTTCGACTATTAAGCCGAGTCGTTTGACGACAGCGAAAAGGGAATCATTTTGAAGAAGTTAAAGTGAAGAAAACTAAAGAAATTATGATATAAATGCATAAATAAAACTTACCCACAGCAATCAGAAATATTTTGACACTAGGCGAGTATAAGGGATAAGAATCAAACTGTCTTCAAAAAGATTCTTTAAAGCAAAGCAAAAAATATATACTCAGGATTATATTAAGTTGCTTGAGAAATAATGTCCGAGTCTACAATCAACATTTATTCCCGAATTAATGTTTTCAAACAGTGCTTAAATCAGTAAAAAACAGGTTCGTGAGCCTCTATATATTTCTACTATAGGTAAATTATGTCTTTACGATAAAACTCTAAAAGTTTGGATACCGGGAAATCTTTGATTACATTTTCATCGGCTTCTTTTCACGGAATCATTTTTGGCTTAAAACATTGTCAAGATGTTTGAAAATGTGGGTTTCAGTGGGAGAACGTTCATGATAATATGGTGGGTATGGAAAAATCTCGTATGCGATGTCGTTGAAATTCTGCAATGTCAGCCTGGTATCATATGGCCGAACATTGTCATGAAGCAAAATTGGACTACGATTAGATTCCAGTAGGTTTTAATGGGTTACTGTTATACCATATTACCTATTCTATTGTAATAGACTCTCCCACAGATAATAAGTAGAATTGAAATAAAAGCCTCCACTGTGAAAACTACTCTACAACAGTTACACTAATGACAAAAAAAATACAGTTGGTGCACTTTCGTTTTTAGAAAGTGTTTGGTTGTTTTCTCATAAGCCGATACTTTAGAATTGTCATGAAGGATCCATTTCTCATCACAAGCCACTACTCAATCAAAAAGTGCCAATTCGAATTTCACAGTCGTGGCATCGAACACACCTGAAAACGTTAAACTGCTTGACTTTCACTGAATTAATTTATCGAGTTCCTTTCTCTTGCCAATTTTCTTGCGTTGGTCAAACATTGTTGAAATACTGACATCAATTAACTGAGACATTTCTCTGAGACTTTCACTTGGGTTCTGTTTGACTTCTGTTTTCAGATGCTGATTGTCAATTACATATAGACGTCCTCTACCACCGAGAGTTCTTGAAGACTCGTATACACAATGTAGAACACCAGAAAGCAGTGCCATATTTTCCGATCCAAGTGAATCCTTCACTCCATGTTCTGTTAATGTTGGCAGCAGTTTGAGAAGCATTATGGCCATGCTGGGGCTCATGCAAAAAAGTAAACGCATTGTCATGAAGCAGAATTGGACCACATTGATAAATCAGTGCCTGTTGCATTTTTTCCAGTTACTGGCAGCAATGATTTCATTAGATTCCAGAAAGCTATAACAGATAACACCAATGGCTGAATACAAGACTATCACCATAATATATTGGTTCAATTTCAGTTTTGGAAAGTATTTAAGTCTTTCGTTATGATCACGCCATTGAACCAATCATTTCAAATTGTCATAAAAGAGCCATTTCTCCTCACAAGTTATTATTAATTTTGCAGATGCAGCACCAAACACACTTCAAAGCGTTGAATTTGACTGAGTTAATGTGGAACTCATTTATCAAGTTTCTTCCTTAATTTTCGATGTTGTTGAAAGACTGGCATCAATTGTCTGAAACATTTCTCTAACACATTGACATGGATTTTGTTTGAAGAATGTTTTCAGATATTGATTGTCCATTGCAGATGAGTATCATGTACCACCTTGGTCTTCATAATTCATATAACCGCTGTAGAACTTCAAAAACTAGCGCCATAATGTATGATCCCAAGTGAATTCTTCACCACTTGCTCTTTTAATGTTGGTAACAGTTTGAGAAGCATTATGACTAAGCTTGGACTCATGAATACAGTAAACACTCCTCTTCTTTTTCATGTTGAAGATGAGGAATATATTATGGTTTACGTAAAATTCTGAAAGATATTGATATAAAATTAACAGTATACACTTTAGTCATTAGAAATTAGTAATACAATGTAACCAAAAAAGTCCTTACCGTTTTAAATTGTTAAAAAATAGATATACTGCAAATGTAACTTTATGTTAGTCGTCAAATAATCCTAATCGGCATCCAGAAACTTTTACCAATGTGCCTGCAGCTGCACAATGTCATGACGATAAAAAATCAGATATCTTGGACCCAAAGAAGTCTGTGAATGCCTACCTCATTTGCGAAGGATTTCCCACGAAGGCAGTTCTCCAAAGAATGGAAGAGATGTTAATCTGTTGGCGCAAGATCCTGAGGTAAGGTCGATGGCACAGTATCTCCGTATAATAATCCTGACAACGAGTTCCACATGAGGCGTAGCATTGTCATGGAGGATCAGTACACACTTGTTATTGACCAAGGCTGATTCCTTCTGCTTCAGTGACTGTAGTACACGTTGCAACTGCTGCAAGTACAGATCCGCAGTAATGGTTTGGCCCGTCGGTAGCAGGTGGTGTTTTTGTGTGAGGCATAATATCTCGTGGTGAAAACCGATGCCTGACACGCTTGCAAAAGTCAGACTGGACCTACTTTTCGTCACTGGTGAGCACTCAAATACGGATATGTTGCGGTTCCGAGGAAGCAACGAGAAGCATATAGTCACACGTTGTTGTTTGTTGGCTTCATACATTCTACTGGGTACCTATTTTCTCACGTTGTATGACTTCTCTATGCGGTACAGGGGAAATCTGAATGTTTCATCAGAAAGCTAGAAGTGTTCGGCAAGTTCACCAAACCTTTGGCTGCTGTTAATCTCTTTGGCCGTCTTCAGGGTCTTATCATCCAGGACGTGGCCGGCTACTGCGCGGTTCATCACAAAGATAGAGATCTCCCGACCTGAACCTCTGGAGCCATTGCCTGCCGGTGCGTTCATTAACAGCATTATTCCCATTATTTGGTGACTTGATGCGGCTGCAGAGAAGACTAAGTTAAAAACCATAAAGCGGGCAGTATCGAATGCGCTGCTTAGAAACCACCATGATTCCTCGATCTACGACTGATGTGTGTGCGCAACGCACCTGGTCAAGAGAAATGCCAATAAAGAGGGCACAAAAAGCCTCTGTCATATTTCGAAAGTGTGTGCACATGTGTGTCTGTCTCTCTGTGTGTGTGTGTGTGTGTGTGTGTGTGTGTGTGTGTGTGTGTGTGTGTGTACAAAGTTCTGGAAATTTGTAGATCTTACTTAATTTCTCTGAAATCAAATGCACAAAAGTTTTTATAGAATTATTGATTGGTATGACCGAGAACCTTTCAGAAGACCGTTGTATACAAATACAATCTATTTATACATGCCTGAGAACAAATGTAAACATGAACCAGAGATATTATCTAGGTTATTTACGAAATAATAACAAATCTCTGCCTTTGTATCTTCTTTCTCTTTTTTATTTAACTTTTTCTATTACTTTTCTTCTTTTATACTAGTGTCGCCATTTTCTTATGGAGTTGGCTATCAAAGTTAATCATGGCAGCCCAGAACTTTAATGAAAAGCGGCTTCAAGAGAAACGCCTACCGTAAATTCTGGATGAGTGAGACTGTTGTAGACACTGTCCACGGCGATGAAAATAGAACGAGGTAATGGTAAATGTAGTCTAAAAATGACTGAGGCATCGGCGTAACCGGAATTAAAGCGTTTTGATTAAGCAGGCCATTGTTTGAAATGGGGTTGACTAGGAGACTTCACGAAGATTCAGTGGAGAGGAAGGTCAGTCGCATTCGGAATCGGTGGAGAGGGTCCGGTGAGGAAAGATGCTCAAGTAAAGAATATGGTAAATAAAAAAAGACACTGCTGAGTCATTAGAGGAAAAATAATGGCGGAAAGGAAGGAAAGTAACGACCAGGAACCGCCAAGAAAGAAAGCATGAAAAACAAAATGTAGTGAGGAACATAAATATGCCAAAGAAAGAACGAAGGAGAAACAATCCGTAGATTAAAGAAAGAAAGAAAGAAAGAAAGAAAGAAAGAAAGAAAGAAAGAAAGAAAGAAGATATTGAACAACATGAAATGGCTATGAAAGAAGGATGTAAAATTTGGAGGAGAAAGAAAGAAAGAAGAAAGAAAGAAAGAAACAAACAAACAAACAAACAGACAAAACACTGACTAAGTTGAAGTTGGCAAAAATGGAAAATTGCAAGACTGTAGAAGAAACAAAAGAAAACATTGCGTAAAATAAAGATGGGAAAGAAATAAAGATGCAAATCCGTAGGAGAATGAAAGGAACAATGAAAGAATGAAATAAAAAATGAAAGAAATATTTAGTATGATAAAGTTGGCAAAGAAAGAAAGATGGAAGTGTTTAGGAAAATGAAAGAAAGAACGAAAGAAAGAAAACATTGAGTAAGATGAAGTGATAAAGAATGGATGATACAAACTCTGTAGGAGAAAGAAAGAATGAAGAGATGGAAAACATTGAGTAGGATAAAGTTAGCAAAGAAAGAAAGATGCACGTTTGTAGAAGAAAGAAAGAAAGAAAGAAAGAAAGAAACAGAGGGAAACATTAAGTAAGATAAAATTAGCAAATAAAGAAAGATGCACGCCTGTAGAAGAAAGAAAGAAAGAAAGAAAGAAAGAAAGACAAAACATTGAGTAAGATAATGACAAAGAAAAAAGTTGCAAATCTGTAGAATAAAGGAAAAAGAATGAATGAAAGAAATGAGACAAAGAACGAAAAATGGAAAAGTAATTGGGAAAAGAAACAATTTTGAACGGAGAAAAAATGGAAGAGACAAATAATATAAAAATAGAAAAAGCAAATGAAACCACGTAGAAAGTTCTAAAAAGAGGAAAGCAAAACAAATAGCAGAAGAAGCTTTAGCAAAGAAAAAAAAGAGGGAAAGTTAAGAGAAAAGGAAAAGAAATAAAATTAATGGAAATAGAGAAAATGGAGAAAAATAAAACCAAAGTAAGACGGTTAGACAGGAAGAAATAAAGCAGACAACCAAAGAGAAGAAATAAGAGTGAAGAAGACAAATATCGCATGACAGGAAGCTCGTAAAATCATTAGCAATGAATTTACATGCCATACGTAGTCGCTCTCATCTGTCGATAATACTGGCATTAATTCTTCAACATTGACCGCTCTTTTCTTCCTGAATATTCAATAGTTTCTATAGTAAAAGCATCAGCATTGCTTTTATATTATATATATAATGTATTACATTAATTGCTGGCCACCTTTTCATACTGATCTTCAGTGTATTTCTACAGTAAAATCATTATATTAACCATTTTATATGTCTACAGATTATATTCGTTTCTGACCATTTTTTCATCCTGATGTTTAATGCATTTCTATAGTAAATGCATTTCTATAGTAAATGCATTAGCTATACTCTTACATTATATATATATATATATATATATATATATATATATATATATATATATATATATATATATATACAGTTTATGAAAAACTAGGTAATCCGTATGGGTAGACCCAAGGAGGATAAAATCCAGAGAGTGTCGAAGTCTGGACCTCCTCAAGTAATTTTAAGTATGAAAGAATAGAAATATTAAATTACATCTAACTCACTAATGTCTTCTCTCTTCCCCCTCACTTCCTCACTTCGTTAATTTACATATGCTTAATACGGCCCGTCAAAAATGTGTGAATTTCTTTTCATTTTTTGTTTCAACCTTTGGAAATAAAGTCTGATGATCCGCAGTCCTTTAAAAGGGCTGTGTTGAAATAATTTATTACATGGAACCTTAAAGTGGTCTGTTTTTATTTAAATTTTATATATATATATATATATATATATAACTTCTATTCTCCCATTTGTTATTACATTAATTCCTGACCATCCTTTCTTCATAATGCCCAAAGCATTTCTATAGTAAAAGCAACAGAATACGTTTACTTTATGCGTATAATGAAGTCTATTATGCCAGTAGCTATTACATTATTTCCTGGGTACTGAGAATATTTTCATCCTGATGTTTAACGTATTGCTATATTAAAAGTATTAGCAATTGATTTATATTATAAATGTGAAAGATTTATTTACATCAGTAAAGTTTTCATTATTTCCTGACCACTAATCATCCCTCTATTCCAAAATTTTACTGCGTCCTGAGTTTGACAATAAACTACATCCGCGTCCTGGGTAAGACGATAAAATACATCCGCGTTCTGGGTAAGACGATGAACTACATGTGACAGCAAGGCCTTGAGGAGTATGGAACCACCTCTTCATTTCTGGGTGGTAGCAACTGCCAAGGTCCCAGCTATGGGCAAATAGTTAACACTCCAAAAGGGGTCAAAACACTATGAAAGTATAAAAAATAGGTTTTAATACCAGCAATACTATTTTGAAAAAAATTATTACCAGTAATATATTTTGAGAAAAAATTTTACCAGGAATACATTTTTGAAAAAAAATTACCAGCAATACATTTTTGAAAAAAAAATATTACTAGCAATGCATTTTTGAAAAAAAAGAATATTACCAACAATATATTTATGAAGAAAAAATATTACTAGCATTAAAAAATCTTGTCGGCATTAAATAACCCATGGAGGTTGATATGACGTAAAACAAACCAAACCAAACCAAATTTTAGTGTCTATATAGAATGATACGTGAGAATTATGTTGCATTGTAATCATTTAAGAATTAGCCATGTTGCCGGGATTCTTTAGACCGAACATCTTTGCGATGTCTTCTGCAAAGTGATTTAAGTATAGCATGCACTTTGTTGAAGCGACTGGTGCAACACAAGACAGCATTCTTGATAAAATCCAAAAATGAATCTACAGTTTTATCGGTACTGACCTGGCATTTCGGCTTCAGTCACTTTTTCACCGCTTCAATGTAACTTCTCTGAGCTTTGCTGTAAATATTTTCATTTTAACTTTTTGTGATAGGCTTTCCTCTTTGGTAATTCAATTTTACGAATTTAAGCGCAGTACTCATTATTTTAAGGTTAGTTCTCATCATTTTACAGCTAAAATGGCATAGGTGTGACCGTAGGTTCTATGTAAGCAATTCTTCTCTCGCACTTCTCGCTTGTGGACTTACTTCCGGACTCTTGATTTCCAATCAACTTTGATCTTCAAACATTTAAATTCAGTGTCAATTTTTTTGTTCTGTCTTCTTAATTCCTGTACTTTCAGTGTACTCTCTCCTTAATAAGGTTTTTTTTTTCTCATATTCTTTTACACACCTTAACCCTTTGCGTCTTAGAGGCTTTATTGTCTTGTTTAGGTTGAAATGATTAAAAGAGAACACATTCTGTAAACAAATATATCTCGCGTTTATTCCTTTATGAGATAGATCTTGGGAGAGAGATTACTTTTTGAAACAAAATACTACTGTCATAAAATGGACACAAATACGTGATAGGCAAACTTGGGATATGATTGGATATTTTCTGTCGCGTTACGTCTTGCATTTCTTCTTATCGTCTCCATAGATTTTTTTCCGGGGCCATGAAATCAATAAGACAAAATATTGAAAATGAAGATATAAGCTGCTTTAATCGGAATTCGAACTCAGCTTGCCTAGAGTGTTTGTGCCGTACTGATTATCCTTACGTAACGCCTGACTAGTACACCAGAGAAAAGGAAAGATATGGAACACATGTAAAAATTTAAAGTGAAAACATATCGTAAAAAAGAAAATCCAAGCTCCAAATTTTCCACGTAATCTCTCTTTGATAAATTCTTTAATTTTTTCAGACTTCTTTCAAATCTAAGATGTCATATGCATCGCTTTTAGCATCGCGTATCATATTAGCTTATTTTCAATAAAACCTTACAATACCCATATAAAAGATAAATCTGCCTGGCTATTTCATCTCTCTCTCTCTCTCTCTCTCTCTCTCTCTCTCTCTCTCTCTCTCTATATATATATATATATATATATATATATATAATTACAAAACGGTTTATCCTTTTTATTTGCCGCGGAAACATTTCTAAGATGAAAATTACATTTTATCCGCTATTTCCTGTCTTATTCTTTATTTTCTAGCTTTGTTTGTCGATTACAGAAATCTCTTTTAGATTTATAGACAACAACGTTAATCCCTCGATATTGTAGCAGAAATGAAACCGAAACGTTTGTAAAAGAAATAAGGTTGGCCACAAATTGCAGACGACACAGCCTGGTCGGAGAAAAGAAGACCGGATCAAGAGCTACATAAAAAGTTGATTAGCCTCCATAATGTTTCATTACGTCAGCTCAAACATATGACAACTTTATACTAATTCGGAAGTTGAAAAAGATTTCAGATTAAATTAATTAAAAAGGAAAATTTAATATCGGTTTAGTTTAAATGAGAAAATGACTGAAGTGAAATCAAATAGTAGCTTTTTGTATTAAGCGTAAGCATTTATTTGATTGATGTTATTTAATAGCAACATTATTCAGTAATTAAATCATTTTCAATGGCTTCGTCCTAACTTACACTTACCCTGCCATGGGGATATAGAATATACCGACTGCATTTTCTACATTCGAGTCTGATCCCCACCAAAAAAGTTTAGGCCAATTTTCCTGTTGATACTTACAGTTTAGAGTATAAATCAAACCAATGTCTATCTTTTTGTCTCTATAACCTTGTGTCTACATTTCTCCTCTCGTGTAAACTGGACACATGTCTACATTTCTCCTCTCGTGTAAATTGGACACATGTCTACATTTCTCCTCTAGTGTAAACTGGACCTATGCCTACATTTCTCCTCTAGTATAAACTTAACCTATGTATACATTTCCCCTCTAGTGTAAACTGGACCTTATGTCTACATTTCCCCTCTAGTCACATGTCTACATTTCTCCTCTAGTGTAAACTGGACCTTATCTTTAGATTTCTCCTTTAGTGTAAACTGGATCTGATATCTACATTTCTCCTCTAGTGTAAACCGAAGCTATGTCGACTTTTTTGCCCTAGTCTATTTCGACCTTTCTATTTAGTCATTGGGATTTAATTGTATAAAACTCATAACTTAAATAATCCAACGACATTAAATGATCTAACAAGAAATGACAGATTAGTACGTTTACTAATCTAAATCTCGTTGTAATCCTCAGTTCTAGTCTAATAGTTTCTTTTCTCGTATTTCTCTTCTTGATCCCACGGCACCTACACTCTTCCAAAATATAAATTCAATGTCAAATGTCATCTTATATTTTCCTGAATCCTGTTTTTTTTTTTTTTTTTTTTTTTTTGTTTTTTGTATTCTCTCGTCACTCGATTCTTCTCATGCTCTTTAACACTTAGTAACCACTTGCATCTGAGTGGTAATGTCGTCTTTCTTGGACGAAATGATTAAAAAAACTTAAAACACTCTGCAGCAAAATTGTGATTTTCATTGTATCAAATTTCTG